AATGCAGTGGCTGGTAAAGAACGCAGTAAAGCAAAGGACTGCAAAGTCTGTAGCTCTGTGGCGCGATTCCCCAGAAGGTAATGGGGGACAGGCTTGGATTTTTTCTTTGTCCCCTGCTTGCGACAAATGAGTGAACACTTTCCTTCTTTCCTAATCCAGTTTTATAACATGCATCCTTCTGTTTTTGTTGAATAGGTCGCTTCACTGCTCATGATATTGCTGTGTTCGCCAAAGAGAGTGCGTCATCAAGTGTGCAGACCCTAGGACCCGAAGACTTTCCCGCCAAAATTACCAAACCTAATCATCCATTCTTTGTGGACTTCTTTGCTCCAGTTAGTGAACAGTTTTGTATAAGATGTTTACGATATGTAGACAGGCTGGTTGCGAATGGGGGCTGTATAAAAAGTGTAACAAGGCCAAACCACAACGCTGGCAGCTGTGTTCCTTCCTCGTGCCAACCACTACAGAGAAGATGCAGGAGATGGGGTTTAAGGCTTATTGTGCTTATTCGAGAAGACTAGATTGTCTAACCATTTGGGGGTGGGGGGGAACCTAGAGGGTGATTTGGTTCATATGAAGTTTCTACAAAGAGTAAGGGATCAATATAGCTTGTAGTGTCAGCAAGTCCACATCCTAAGTGACCAGAACTTTAATGTCTCTGCTCCAAAATCATCGCAGGGTAAGTTACATGTAGGTAAGCTTTATTATCAGTTTCCAGCTAATACTAGTTGTGATTTCCAGGATAACTTGGTGAATGTTGGTACTATTGATTGTGGGGCAAGTGCTCAGCTGTGTAAAGACGTGGGCTACAGTGATGACTTGGTGTTTTTCAAAGGAGATGTAGGACCAGGTAAAGGAGAGGTATGTAAACTGGTCTGTGACTGGTCTGTGAAATTCAGTGTGCTAAGCTCTGTGTACTTGTGTCTTCCACTAGTGGCAAAGTGTTCCCAACATTCCCTGGGAAAAAGTTGACCCTTGAGATTATCCACTGAAATTCATGATTTGTTTTTTGTCTTACAACTTTCACAGGTTATTGACAGTTTAGATGCCCAAGATATTGTCAGTATGATTTTAAAGAAGCTACCTGATCCTGTTAATGTAAACTTGAAGAAATTTGAGGTGATTTTTAATTTGCTTATTGAACCACATTAAATCATGTATAAAATGTAACAGGACAAAAATTTGTACTATTTAGTTGTTGAAAATTTACAATCTTTATACTCTCTTACCATGTTGTCTGATTATCTGTTTGAGAGAAGTCCTTAAAAGGACTGCAATAGGAGAAAGAGCTTGTAAATAAAAGAGATTATAAATAGAAAAAATTAAATTAAAAAAAAAGAGGTCGACTATTCGACAACCTGAGCAGAAGTCATCAATTCAATCAAGTGACGGCCGTTGCTGTCAGGTTGATTTAACTGACTGGCAACGGTTCGTTCCAGGACTTTCTCACATGTACAGTTGCCATATTTGACATGCTGAGTCTTGCGCTTGAAAACAAAAAGTACCACGCACAAGCTGGCTATTTCTCACTGGGATGATCAGATCAACTATTAGCTCTGGCTTAAAGCCATTCACTGTTTAAGTGTTAGTGGTTATTATTTTAATACTTATTTTTATTGAATAAATTTCAGAATTCCTACAGGCAGTTAAGAAATTCCCTGTCAATGTTTACTTTTGTAGGAACTTAGAGAAGAACTCTCCCATACTACAGAACTTCCTTGGGTGCTACATTTTGACAGGGGGCCCATGACCAGCATGGAAATAAGAAAGCTGCCAGCATTTACTTCAGATATAAATGTAAGATCCTTGTTCTGTTTCTGTTTTGGTTTTACATCACTCAGTCCAGAAATTAAGTGAAGGAATAATTTGAAGGAAGGTTGGCAATCCAGTGAGGAGGCCTATCTGATGAGGGCATATCAGAGTTTCCTTAGTATAAAGAGACGATGAATGCTGCTTCTCTCCCCCTGGATGGGATGCTGGTCTATCGCATCTTACCCCACCCTCCTTTCCCGCATTTTGTCAGGTCTCAGACAGTTCACCAATGCACATTTATACTTCTGGGTTGAGAGAAGCCTGGTGAGAGTAAACTATTCTGCCCTATTCTTCCCAAGAACACAACACAATGACTCAACCAGGTCTCGAACCCAGACCTCTCCATCCACAATACTAGTCTAGCGCACATACTGTTAGGTCACCGTGTGTCCCATCCATTAACGAATTATGCGAGAGCGAATATGGAATTTTTAAAATGGTTAACCAGAAAGAGTTTGTTGTCCGACGTCGTTATTGATTGTTTTTAACCATAGGTTGGTCATGTTGATTGTGGTAAAGAAACAGAGATATGTCGCCGAGTTCACATCAGAAAGTTTCCCATGGTGGCTCTGTTCAAAACACATGGATACTATGAGTGGCATCATGGTAATTCATTTTATCCTTCGCAGCCTTTTATGGGGGGGGGGTCGGAATGTCGCCAAGCGTCTCCTCTCACCCCCCCCCCTCAAAAAAAATAATTTTTTTCACAACCGGCCTACTTCCTATTTTGGCATTCTAAGCAGTAACTGATCGCATACTTAGAAGTTGAAAAAAACCTGTTATTGTGGTCTTAAAATTTGGACTTCCTTCCCCCCTTCTTGGTACTCCAATCTAGTCGTTTTATTTATAAAAGGAGCCTTTTTTCCAGTGTACGTGGCGGATAATGAACGTCTTTCGATGATCAATATTTAAGTGGAAACATGATGCTGTCAAAATCGCTGATCGAGCAGCTTGCAGGACTTTCGTTTTTTTTATCAATCTGGTAAATGGTGTGGGTCACCAACGACTTCTCTATAATGCAGTGGCTGGTAAAGAACGCAGTAAAGCAAAGGACTGCAAAGTCTGTAGCTCTGTGGCGCGATTCCCCAGGAGGTAATGGGGGACGGGCTTGGATTTTTTCTTTGTCCCCTGCTTG